TTTTCAATCTATATGCAGAACAGATTATCCAGGAGGCTGGGCTGTATGAGGAGAAATGTGGCTTCAGGATTGGAGGAAGACTCATCAACAACCCTTCTTGCTGAAACTGAGGAGGACCTGAATCACTTGCTGTGGAAGGTCAGAGACTGCAGCCTTCAGTATGGATTGAGGCTCAATATCAAGAAAACAAAGATTCTCATCACTGGGCTGATTGGCAGCATCATTGTGGATGGTGAAGAGATTGAGATTGTTAACAGCTTTAGTTTGCTTGGCTCCACAATCAACACTCTTGACACCAGCAGCCAGGAAATTAAAAGATGTATTGCAATGGGAAAGTCTGAGGATAGAGACCTCTCTAAAGTACTAAAGAGCAATGATGTCAGTCTGGAGACTAAGGTGTGTCTGATACAGGCCATGGTCTTTGCACTCACTTGCTATGTATCAGAGAGCTGGACAATTACTAGGGATGATAGAAAGAGAATTGATGCCTTTGGGTTATAGTGTTGGAGAAGAGTAATGACTATACCAAAAACTTCTAAGAGAATGAACAGTTTTGTCATGGAGAGGGTGAACCCAGGATGCCCCTTGGAGGCAAGGATTCTGAAGCTTCATGTGACATACTTTGGGCATGTTGCAAGGAGAGACCAGTCCTTGGAGAGGGACGTCATGCTTGGGAGGGTGGAGGGACTGTCCAGGAGAGGAAGACCCTTCATGAGATGGACTGAATCAGTGACTGGGGTAATAGGAGTAGGTGTGTCAGAGACAAGTTTGGCACAGGAGAGAGCAGGGTTTAGGGCTGTTGTACGTAGGTTTGTTATGAGTTGCAGGCGACTGCACTGCACATACCAATGACATCTATGGTCACCTGATATTTGACAAGGAAATCAAACCTATCAAAAGGGGAAATAACAACCTCTTCACCAAACGGTCCTGGCAAAGTTAGACTGCTACCTGCAAAAAAACTGAAACAGGATCCACATCTCACACCATACACAAAAATCAACTCAAGGTGGATCAGAGACTTGAGAGTAAAGACCAAAACCATAAAATTCATCAGAGAAAAAGATGGGATCAAGTTTAGAAGGCCTAGTCTACTGTCTAAAGAGACTGCCAAATACAACCAGAAGTGCACAATCTGAAAAGGATAAAATTGATGAATTGGACCTTTTTTTGTGTGCATCGAAAACTTTTCCAACAGGATGAAAAGGAAACCTATTGATGAGAAACAAACACTTGTAATACTATCTCAGACAAAGTTTACCAAATACCAAGTTTACCGAATACTGATGGGCCTCAACAGGAAAATTGATAACACAATTACAAAATATGCAGAAGACATGAAAAAAAATAACAAAGGAAGATCCTCTAATGGCCAAGAGACACATGAGGAAATGCTCAAAATTACCGGGAATAAACCACAAATTGAGATACTTGGGAATGAATGTAACTAGAGATACAAGAGACCTATACAAAGACAACTATAGAGCATTTCTGAAGGACACAATAAAAGACCTAAAGAAATGGGAAAATATTCTCTGTTCATGGAGGGAAGACTCAGTATGGTGAAAATGACAAACCTACCAAAGGCTATTTACATGTTCAATGCAATCCCAATACAGAGATCAAATTCATTTTTCAAGGAGAATGAAAGGAAAATTATCAAATTTATTTGGAGAGACAGGAGATCACAAATAAGGAAATCACTTCTGAGAAAACAAAAATGAGGTTGAAGGTATAGCACTCCCTGACCTCAAGACCGACTACACAGCAGTGGTAACCCAAACAGCATGGTACTGGTACAATGACAGGCACATAGACCAGTGGAACAAAATTGAGAACCCAGAAATAGACCCAGCTATCTATGGTCAACTGATATTTGACAATTAAATCAAAGACATCAAATTGGGAAATGAAAACCTCTTCAACAAATGGTGCTGGAAAAACTGGACTTCCACCTGCAGAGAGCTGAAACAGGATCCACATCTCACACCATACACAAAAAAATCAGTTCAAGGTGGAACAGAGACCTGGGAGTAAAGCCAAAACCCATAATGTTCATAGGAGAAAAGCTGGGATCGAGCTTAGAATAGCTAGTCCAAGGTATAAAGACACTGCCAAATACAAAAGAAATGCACTATCTAAAGAGGATAAAATTGATGCATGGAAACTTCTAAAGATTAAATCTCTGCGCACATCGAAACCTTTCCCAACAGGCTGAAAAGACCTACAGACTGGGTAATTTGGTAATTCCATCTCAGACAAGAGTCTTATAACAAACATTTACAGAATACTCTTGCGCCTCCACAAGAAAAAAACTGATAACCCAATTAAAAAATGGGCAAAAGACATGGAAAGAATTTTCACAGTGGAAGATATTTGAATGGTATACAGACACATGAAGAAATGCTCCAAATCACTGGCAATTAAAGAGATGCAAATAAAAACCACAATGAGGTACCATCACACTCCAGTAAGAGTGGCAAAGTTTAACAGGATAGCAAGTAATAGATACTGGAGAGGATGTGGTGAGAAAGGAACACTTATACATTTTTAGTGGGATTGTAAAATGGTGCAACCATTCTGGAAGGCAGTTTGGCACTTCCCCAAAAACCTAAACATAGAAATTCCATATGACCCAGCTATTCCATTACTTGGCATATACCCTGAGAATATGAAAACTGAGGTACAAACTGAGATTTGTATACCAATGTTGATAGCAGAATTATTCACCACCACAAGAATATGGAAACAGTCCAAATTTCCAACCACAAACGAATGGATTGAGAAATTCTGGTACATTCACACAATGGAATACTATTTAGCACACAGGAGCAATAACTTTGTAAATTATTACCTAATTTGGGAGGGACTAGAGAGCATTATGCTGAGTGAACTAACTCAGTCCCACAAGGATAAATATTGTTTAATACAGTTATTATAGAAGGAGTATAAGGATCCATGTTGGGTGAGAGAGGCTGAAAGCAGAGGGATGTAGATGTACAGGGGAAAGAGGAGGTTAATAATTGAATTGGACAATTTGATGGGTGGAGGGGTGAGGGAAATTGAAAGGGGGTAAGATGAGTAACAATCAATGAATGAAAATCTAACTTCTGTAAACTTTTGTTAAAATGTCATCTCATTCCAGTAACAATGGCAAAGTTTAAAAGGCCTGCAAGTAATAAGTGTTGCAGAGGATGTGGCCGAGATAGGAACTCTTATACATTGTTAGTGGAATTGTAAAATGATACAATCCCTCTGAAAGGCAGTGTAACACTTCCTCAAAAAGGTAAACATAGAAATTTCATATAACCTAGCTATTCCACTGCTTAGAATATACCTCAAGATAATGAAAAACCAAGGCACAAAAAGAGACTTGTGCACCAATGTTCACAGTGTTACTCACAGTCACAAGAACATGGAAACAGCCCGGATGTCCAACCACAATCGAATGGATTGGGAAATTATGGTACATTCACACAATGTAATGTCATGCAGCATGCAGGAGCCATGATTTTTTTAATTATTACCTAACTTAGGAAGGACTGGAGAGCATTATACTGAGTGAACTAACTCAGTCTCATAGGACAAATACTATATAAAACCATTATTATAGAATGTGTATAAATATCCAAGGGTGGAGAAGGTGGAAGCAGAGGGGTGAAGATTGGCTGGGGATGGTGAGGGTTAATCATAGGGTCAAAGAATTTGTTGGGGTGGGGTCAAGGAAATGGAAAAGTTCTCGTGTGAAAAATAATGTATTTTAACTTTTAAAATAAGCCAGTAAAATATATATTAAAGATTGATTTAGAAAAAAGAAAAAAATTTCACTACTGGTCCAACAGTTAGCATCATGATAGATTGTGAAAAGATTGAATTGTCAACAATTTCACCTTACTTGGATTCACAATCAACACCCTTATTAGCAGTAGTCAGGACATCAGGAGACATATTGCATTAGGAAAATCTGCAATTAGGAATGTCTCTAAATTACTGAGGAGCAAGGGTATCTGTTTGAAAACTAAGGTGTCCTTGACTCAGGCCATGGTCTTTTCAATTACTTGCTATGGAACTGAGAGCTGGACAATGAAAAAAAGATTACAAAAGAATTGATGCCTTTGAGCTGTAGTGTTAGAGAAAAGTACTTACTATCCTATAGAATGTCAAAACAATAGATATGTCTTAGAGAAAGTGCAGCCAGATTGCTCCTTGGAGGCAAAGATGACAAAAGGTTGTCTACATACTTGAGGCATGTTGTTAGGAGAGGCTCTTTCTTTGAAAGGGACATCAAGCTGGGGAAGGTAGAGGGTCAGTGAAAGAGAGGAAGACCCTCAGTGAGATGGATTGATACAGTGACTGCAGAATCATGGACCACATTTGACCTTTACACAAATGGAGAAAATAAACACATTTCTATAAGAATTTATCCGTATTAAATGTGAGGATGGATTAAAAACACCTAATATTCAATTCCGAGGTTTGGTAGAAGGTCTGCAATAGTTACAATGACATGAATGATTCAAAGGAACTTTTTACTTACTTTGGCATCATATAATTTTTTACTGTTTTCTAGACCTTTTTCCTGTCCTTTTGTCTTGTCAATGTTGTTTTTTTGTCAGCAATCTATTCTATTCTCTCAGTAGTCCAAATCCTAGCCTTCACTCAAGGCCTAGCTCACATGTCCTCTTCTGAACATGAGCTCATTTTACAAGAATTTTCTCTCCTGCTTCTCACCTTTCCTTTGCAGCACATAGACTGGAAAGCTGGGGCTACTCAGGAAGTCAGTGGGATCTACGTTTGAAAAAAAATATCAGCTATTGAAAACCCTGTGGATGACAGTTCTCTGATACACATGAGTCAGAATCAACACTGCAGTAGTGGGATTAAGATTTAGTTTAGTTATTCTCAGGTAGAATGAAGGATGTATTACATAGTCATTGGTGATATGATTTCCAGCTTGTTCATCTTTTTTTTCTTTCTTCTCCCTGTGGATTGGATTATAGGACTTTCACTATGAATTTAGTTACCAGATAGGAAATGACTCCAGACATATTCTGTACCATGGGAGAGATGCCCAGTACTACTTTGCTTTGCCAGCTGGTGAGCAACTGGACAGTTACAGAGGTGAAGTACAGTGAATATTTGATTTCTTGCTATCCTTATTTAGATTTCTAGCCTTTTTTCCTGGTTTCTAAAATTCTAATTCAATCTCTCTCTCTCTCTCTCTCTCTCTCTCTCTCTGCAGAAAGTAAAATTCTTATTATTAATCTTGATAAGCTTAATGATTTTTTAATTTAGGCCTATTCCTACTTTGCAGTGAAGAAAGTATTCATATAATCATAAACTAATTTTTATGTCTTATACCTCAGATTTTAAATGTAATTAAATATAAATTATACAATGTGAAAAGAACAAATTTTTCTATTTGAATTAAAATTGAAGACTAAAATAGCCCTTACATAATGTGTCATATCTAATAATCTTGCATTTGTTAAAACCCAAACCAAGTAAAAATATCTCCCCAAAGAAGAAAATACAGGGATAGAGGAATATTAAAGAAGCTTTAGAAGTGAAAACTGAGCTTGTACATTAGAGTCTCAAAATGAATGAATTCTAGCTCGCCAGATGGAAGTTGCTGATGACTTTCTCTGCCCTTCTCTAGTGTTTTGTTCAGTTTCAAATAAGTGCTGGTAACTGGTTTCAATCTAGCAAGTTAGTGTTACAACCATTTGGGAAAATTTCCGCTTCTACAGAAGCCACAACCTATTAAATTAAAGTTTATGTGGCTAAGAAAGTTTTTGTTTGTTTTAAATAAATTGTTGTTGTATACCATTAAGTCAGAATCCATCCACAGCTGACCTTTGCAAGGGAGGACATTGCTCATATTTTTCCCACGGAAAAAAACTGTTTGCCTTTGGGAATTGCAGCTCAGCTTTGTGCCACTAGGCCTCCAGAGCTCCCTGTAAATTAATTACATATTTTTATTATTTGCATATTGTTGTTGTTATGTGCCTTCGAGTAGCGTGCAACTCATAGCTACCCTATGTACAACAGCCCTTAATCCTGCTCTACCCTGAGCCAGCCTCACCAGCTCTGACACACCTACCCCCATTATTCCAGTCACTGAATCAATCTATCTCATCAAGGGTCTTCCACTCTCTCTCTGTCCCTCTACCCTCCCAAGTACACAATTTTTTATTTATGTTGTATTATGTTCATGTATATTGTGGGCTCCCCTCCCTCCCCCATCTTACAATCATCTTACTAATAACTATATTTGTAAAAGTGTCAGCTATTTCATGCCTTGTGCAGCTAGAGTGCTCTTTGAGGCAAGAAAGATGAGGCTTCGCCTCACATCCTTTGGGCATGTTGCTAGGATAGGTTATTCTTTGGAGAAGGACATGAGGCTGGGGAAGAATGGAGGGTCAGCGAAGGAGAGGTAGACCCTCAATCAGGTGGATTGATATGGTTGACTGTCGCAATGAACTCATGTGTCAGGAAGGGTGAGGATGGTACAGGCTAGAATTGAGTTCAGATCTTTTTGTTCATAGATCATTTGTTTGCTATGAATCGTTCTTGATCCGAAGGCACCTAACAGCTTTACATTTACACTATTATGCAAAGGAATCTAGTCTTCTTCTGTTATATTTAGTTGTTGTTCAACCCTCTGAGGAATAACAAGTTATTATGAAGACCCTGGCCTAAGACAGGTGCACCTTAGTCTTTAAACTGACATCATTGCTCTTCAGCACTCTGGAGACATGTCTGACAGCAGACTTTCCCAGTAAAATTTGTCTTCTTATTTCCTGACTGTTGGTGCTAAAAGTGTTGAATTCTACCCTTTTCCTTCCTTTCTATCCCTGGTAACCAGAGTAAACTCTGGTCTCTATTCATCTTCCTTTTCATGTTTTACAATTCAAATGACTCATTACCATTGTCTCAGAACTGACTCATACCTGACCTGCCTCCTGTGGAATCACTAGTAGTAGAAGTGAAATTGTACAATATTTGTAATTTTATAATTAACTTATTTTACTCTGTAATTTGTTTGAGGAATGTACTCTTTCTGTTTCTGTAACAATTATTTTGTATTCCTCAACAAGATGGATTGACACAGTGACTATAACAATGGACTTATTGAGGATCTTGCTCTTCCTTGCTGGCCATTTACTTTTTCCAGCTTGGTGCTTTTTTCCCAAGGATTGAACACTCATGACAACATGCGCAAAATACGCATGAAATGAGAAGCACCTTGGTTGCACTTCCTCCAAGTTAGATTTGCTAATTCTTTTGGTAGCCCATAGTGAGTCAATATTCTTCATCAACACCATAATTTAAAGGCATCAGTTCTTCAGTATTCCTTACTTACTGTCCAACTTTCACTTGTATGTGAAGCAAGAGACTTGGGTCAGGAGTACCCTGGTCACTAAACTGACATGGTGCAAGCATTGTTTGAATAGATTAATGTTATTTTTAACCACTTGTCCAAATGAATTCTAAACACTAAAATGTACTCATGCTCCACCTTGGTTATCCCAGTTACCCAAGGAATTCATGTTAGGCATGTAGCCACAGACATCTCCAAAGGGACTAAGTCATAAGACTCTTTTTTTCTAAAGGAAAGGATGCAAAAGCAATAATAGATATCCTTCTCATGGCAGCTAGTTATAACTTGGCAGTACCTCTCACAGAGGCAAGACTTTATGGGCCATATTTAGACCAATGGAATATAACAGATATCCAAATAAAAGAAGCTTGAGACAGAGTATTAGCTTTGTGTTGGAGCAGAAGTTTCCTTAATATCAGTTAAATTTGTAGTCATTAAGAGGTATCAGCTTTAGTGGTGTTACTCAATAATACAAAAGCATGTTAGTTGAATATTATCATAAATATCAACATTATAAAGTCCTGTGACTATATGAACTCCTGATTCATAGGAAGAAATCATAAGCAAATAAGTATATTGATGAATATTTAGTACATATATTATCCAAGTGATCTATTTTGTCTTGCATGAATTTCATAAGTCTTTTAAATTCAGTATATAAAATCTGAAGGGAAGTCAGTTGAACAGAACAAGGGACACTACTTGGCTTAAAATCAAGAAAAGTATGCTTAAGGATTATATCCTTTCACCACACCTATTCAAATCTGTATGCTGAGCAATTAAAAAAAAAGTTGAACTATATGAAGAAGAACACAGCATCAAGATTGGAAGAAAACTCATCTACAACCTGTGATATGCAGATGACACAATCTTGGTGAAAGTGAAGAGAACTTAAAGCACTTATTGAAGAAAATATGAGATTATACCCTTCAGAATGCACTGCATCACAACATAAAGCAAAAGTCCTCATCACTGGGCCAGTTGGTAATTTCATGATAAATAACTGAAGTTATCAAGGATTTAATTTTAGTTAGACCTATAATTAATATTCATAGGAACAGCACTCAAGAAATAAAAAGTTGTGTTGCATTGAGTAAATCTGCTGCCGAAGATTTTTTAGAGTGATAAAGAGCAGGGTTGCCTGTTTAATGTCGAATGGGGCCCTGATCCAAGCCATGACATTTTTAGAGCTTCATATGTTTGTGAAAATTGGATGATGAAAAATAAGACAGAAGAAGTATATATGCTTTTCAATTACAATGTTGGTAAAGAGTATTGAATATGCCATGGGCTATTTGTTCTTTTGAACATGCCAAAGTCCTCCTTAGCAAGGATTGTGAGGCCTGCTAGGCACGTTGTCGAGAGGAGGGATATCCCTGGATAAAGACATTATGCTTGGAAAAGTAAAGGATCAGCAAAAATAAGGAAGATGCCTACAGAGATGGACTGACGGCAATGGCAGCAATGGGCTCAAGCACAGAGTATTGTGAGATTGTCACAGGATTGGACAGAGGTTTTTTCTTTCTTTTCTGTTGTTCAGAGAGTCGCTATGATCTAGAATCAGCTCTATAACACTTAAAACAACAACATGGTGCCAAGGTTACACTTTTATTTCAACACTCATGTCTTTAATATGACTATAATCTTAAATACACTGAATTTTTTGAGATTAGAGACTAGTTCTTGTCACCTGTGGCATCATCAACATTTGGTTTATATCTATTTGGAACTCACTTTTTTTACTATTGCTTAATTATTTATGTTTCCTAGAAGAATGCAAGAACTTTAAATTTAGCACTGACTTCTTGCTTTACTTTGATGTCCCTTCTTTTATAATGTCCACCACTGCGCCAAGCACAGGAATCTACTCAGCAGAGGATTTACTGCTTTTCTGATATCTAGAGAATGAGCAATTTGAGAAGGAACATAACTTGTGGTGTCATTGAGCTCTAAATTTTGCCAGAATTCAGTCTATCCTCATGTGTTCCTTAATTGTTGTGAAGAAGTGTGTCTATAACTCAGATATACAGAATGACTTTTCTCTGACACTTTGACTTATAGTCATGGTTTCCACGGAGATCACAGATGGTGAAGGCTCCAGGTTACATCCCTGCACTGTAGCAGTGACTGTGCTGCCCTGTTACCATGGGAATGCAGCCTCTACAGATCTGTGAGTAATGCCACACTGACATACCCTGAGGCAGTGTGTGGTTTCCCTCAGACATAGCAACAATGTAAAGAGAAAAAGTGGCTCATCTCTGAATGAACAAAAGAAACAGTTATGGCTCTACCACTATAATATGGAATATGATGGCCTCCTGAGCTCAAACCACCAACCTTTTGGTTGGCAGCTGAGCACTTTAACCATTGTATCATTAGGAATCATTAGAGAGCTCTGTTGACCTAGTGGTAAGCAGCTATGCTGCAATCCCAATTGCACCACAGTTCAAATCCAGCAGTAGCTCTGTGGGAGAACTGTCCCTGAAAACCTGCTAGAGGGTCAACTATAAGTGGATTCCAACTCAATAGCATATAGCAATAACTAACATTATGAACTTATTAAATAGTGTTTCTATAGATTTTTGTATATATGGTCAGAGGCTTAGCCAAACCAAACCAAACCAACAAATTATATTCTTCCTTTCCCCCCTTATTTTATTGAGCATTTATTTTGTTTATATTTGGTATAATTGACCTATTCAAATTTTGTTTTTACTACGTGTGTGGAGTTGGACAGTTATCACCATAGTCTAATTTTAGAACATTCTCACGAGCCCTCACCCTCTTATCTGTCACTCCCCTTGTGCATCACCTTCCAAAAGCATTTTGTTGATTATAAATTAATTTGTAATTAATTTATTTACTTTTTCCATAATTTCTCTGCTCATATTCTGTATGGTGTTATTCAGATGAGTATCTGTTTTACACATTGGGAAACTAAAACTTAATTATTTAATTAAAACTTGCTGTTGAGGTCACATAGAAAAGAAATTGTAGATCACGGACTGTTCTTATAAAGGAGATTACTATAACATAGAATTGCTCCATTTCCAAATAAATGAAATATTTCATTTATAAAAAAACTCCACAAATACACAAATGTCCCATGGTTGAAATAATAAAAAATCATGTAGTAAGTTTACATAGTGCAACAGAGGCGTTCACTCTCTTGAGGGTTTAGCCATTAACTGAAGCAATCTGCAAACTGCAAACTGCAGTCAGAACCACGTGGACTACATTCCTTCATTTGCCAGGATGCTTCTATATAGTTATCTGTCTTGCTTCTTGCTACAATTTCAGCACATATAAAAGGAGTTTAATAAACTATTTTAATCATAAGCAAGAAAATGAGTGGTTTCTTGACCTGAGAAATTCTTCCATCTCTTTGGTCTTAAGGCCCTTGTTCTTTCAATGCCTGCTATAATCAACTTCCCCATTCCCCTGCTATACACAGTGTGCCGTCTACTCACAGCAATTGTTGATTTACTAGGTATTTTTTCTTAACTAATCTAAGATTATATGGTTTAGATTGTGTTTATTTCATGCCATTGTAGCTATCCTCTATGATCTGCCCTAGAGTATGATACCGTTTATGTTTCCTACAGCTATAATTCCAGCCTGAAAAACCTTTCCACCCTTTTGCTGATGGGAAGTTACATGGAAATCAGGAACTATATCACCATGATCACCAGGATTCTAAATCGTTTGACTAAGGAGTACCAAGGCATTTCATATGGCCAGTGTTCACAAATACAGGATGCATTCATTTCTTCAGTGTGCAAATTAGATTTTGCAGATCAGGTAGGATCCAAAATAATGTGTTTAAAACTTCTGAACCTGTATCAGTATAGGAGGACTTATGACTCTCCCTATTAGTATAGGAGCTCTGGCAGCCTAGTTGTAAGAAATTGTTCTACAATCCCAAAAGAATGTGATTTGAGAGGTGCACGGTTCAAATCCACCAGATGCTCTGCCGGGGAAGGAGGGACAATCTCCTCCTGTACCAGTCAGATCTGATTTGACGGTACACTCACACAAAAATAATAAAAAATAAAAAAAAAAGAATGTGATTTGAATCCATTAGCTGCTCCATGGGAAAAGGATGACAATGTCCTTCCATGCTATTTTGTTGTTGTTGTTGTTAATTGCTGTCGAGTCAAACACGACTCATAACGACCCTATGAACAAAAGACCTGAAGCCTTTCTATAACTATTGTTGTCTCTTAAAGTTAATAGATTTTCCAGAAGTATGCTGTTTAGAGAGTGGATGCCGCGCCTGCTTCCAACATGCTATTCACTGCTTCTGAAAACCCTCTGGAGCACCAGTTATGGGATAGTTCTGACTTGACAGCATACAACAATAGCAAAATGACTCTTCAGCTCACCAGTGTGTAGTCATTCTTAAGAAACACAGTCAAGAAATGAGATCACTGATCTAGTTGATTTGATTTTTATAAATGACTGTGTCTGCTCTATTCTGTTATAGTTCACAAATGAATCCTGCTAGTTTTAAACAGAGCGACACTGGTAGAATTCAGTTATAACAAGGGATATGTATGAAAATATAATATGATTTTGTCTTGGTAACAAAAATATGTTGTTGTTGTTGTTGTTATGTGCCATCGAGTTGCCGGCGACTCATAGCGACCCTATGTACAAAAGCCCTAAACTCCGCTCTGTCCTGTGCCAATCGCACTGTCTCTGACACTCCCATCCCAATTATCCCAGTCACTGAATCAATCCACCTCATAGAGG